CTGAGGAAATTCAACCTGCCACAGGAGCTGCTGAAGCAGTTCTACTCAGCCGTCATCGAGTCTGTTCTGTGCACTTCAATAACTGTCTGGTTTGGTTCAGCTACAAAATCAGACATCAGAAGACTACAGAGAACGGTTCGGACTGCTGAAAGGATTATTGGTGCCCCCCTGCCTACCCTCCAAGAACTGTATACATCCAGAGTGAGGAAAAGGGCTCAGAAAATCACTCTGGATCCATCACATCCAAGCCATCTCCTTTTTGAACTTTTGCCATCTGGTCGGCGTTACAGAGCACCGAATACCAGGACAGCCAGGCACAAGAACAGTTTCTTTCCCCAGGCAATCTGCCTCATGAACAGTTAATGTTCTCCCATTGTGCAATTAAAGTATGTGCAATAACCTTATACCTATTTATCACCCTAAACCCTAGTACATCCCTACAACTTATTTTATTTTATTCTATTCCTATTCCATCTATAGCACACCTGTACATACAATTTATTCTTTTTTTTTTGTGGTTTATATTTATTCACATCTCATTTTTATTATCTGTGTGTTGTTGTTGTCTCCGTGTACTGGAAGCTTGTGACACTATAACAAATTCCTTGTATGTGCAAACATACTTGGCAATAAAGCTCTTTCTGATTCTGATTCTGATTCTGATTATTTCAATGATACCTTCAATGCTCAATGCTCAGACAATGAAAACAAATGTTATTTTTATGCTTTGTTCTCATGCTAAGAAGCTCTTCTCAGAATTAAACATCCTGGAAATATAGAAGCATTTCATTATAAAAACAGAAGCTGGTCTCACTATTGATATCTTTATATATGATATATGCATCAATTTAGTACTTAACAATCAAAGATGTGCAAGTCAACTTGTGTTGTTACTGTTAAATACAACTACTAAAATAATTTTTGTTAAATGAAATACAGCTGAAATAAAAAATATTGAATAAAACTTGGCAACTAACTGAAATAAAATATGTTTAAGTACTAAAATTACTAGAACTAAAGCTAAATAGAAATATGAAACCCCCTAAACTAAATAAAACATTTCAAAAAATGAAAACTAATAAAAATGACAAAAGCACAATTTACTAAAACTTAAAATAAAATTCAAATGAAAACTGAAAAGATAAAAACAAAAGCTATATTAATAAATACAATAATAGCATTGAAATAATACTAAAATAGCACTGATGTCAATATAAATAAATGCATTTTGATTAAAAATGATACAAATTATTTAAAAAATAATTAAAGCGTGTTATATTAATACGTAAAAAGAAATGTTATAAACAAGTAGCATAAACTACATAACACTGCAGTGATAATTTTAGACAAAACCCTTGCTTGCCTGTTTCTATGGTTACCGCTCAAAGTTTTAAAAGAGATGATGCAAATTATAACAAAAAAAACAGAAACTAATCTTATTCACTATAATAATCAAATACATTTGTAAGGATTAAACTGAAAGAAAAGCCAACTGAAAAATGATTCAACAACTGACAAAAAACTTCAGCATACATCAAAAAAAAAAAAAAAAAAGTACTGTGGCGGCAGCAAGGTACAAGGACTGTATCAAATATAGAATGATTACCATATTTCTATACCATGGCATTTACATGCTACTTAAATGTAAATCAAATCCTTTCATCCTATGAAGAAACAGAGAGAAATGGAGCAGTCTTTCATTAGACTCGAGTTAAAAGTTTACCTGACAAACTCACATCATCTCACAGCAGGTGGATGTTTTATCCGCAGGCACACAAACAGACCTACTTACTTGTGAATACAAACCAGCATCACTACAAAGCAGGTGAATGTGTGTTTAACTGGTGCATGTAAAAAACAAACTACAGCACAAATATTGCTAAAAATACCAAAGCTACCATTCATATGTTTCTCATTTTCTCTTTTTAAACCAACACACAGTCATTAAAAACCACCGTGTTGACTCAATCGCTCAATTAACTATCAAATTTAGACATGACAAGACAAACTAGAGTTTGTTCATGCCAGATGAAGCAACAGTTGGCCAATTGTCACGATCGACCAATCACATGCCAGTGTTAGTGATATACCGTAAATAATACCATAGGCATCTTACAAACAGGCAGACAAAATGGTTTGTAAAACAATGACTAACATAGTGATTCGCCTCTCAGTCTTTTCCAAAGCACTACAAAGCACCATTATTAGATTTAGTTTTATAAGATTTCAGCTGAGAGGCTTTTTTCAATAGGGAAATATGAGTGACGTTAAGTACATTTAACACCTGCTATTGACCTGCTCTTAAACAATTCTGTGGATTTGACTGACAGCCTGATAAATGATGTTATAAAAGTGCTGCACTGCATCTTTGTGTCATGAGGATAAACTGTCGCAGCCAAGAAATTGTACAGTAGTTTAAATTAGTTCTATAGCTAGAAGCTGACACAATCTCTTTAGAATATATGTAAATGAGTAAAGAGTCCTCAAACTTTCTAGAAAGTAATGAAATTAAATGGAGAGCAAAGGAAACGTGTGATGCGTTTGCACAAATCACAATTAAAAACACATATATTTTGACAGTACTATTTCCTTCAACTTAATGCGTGTTGTTTTTTGTTTTTTCCCCCACATCTTCTCAGTTTTATCTGTCCAAAAGTGAAAGTTTTACTGTGTCTCTCTGTTGTGAAGTTGTGCAAAACAAAACAAAACATTTATTTATTTGTTTGTTTGTTTGTTTGTTTGTTTGTTTGTTTGTTTGTTTATTTGTTTGTTTGTTTGTTTATTTTCCCACGTCTTCTTAGTTGTATCTTTCCAAACGTGTCTCTCTGTTGTGAAGCTGTGGATAAGGTGCAAAATGTGACCCTAAATTTTGGAGAAGGTGTTGAATAATATTAATATTGATATTATTAAAAATATGTTTGCATTGATAACAATAATAATAGTGCTGTCAAACTATTAATCGCAATTAATCGCATCCAAAATAAACATTTTTGTTTAGATGATATATGTGTGTGTGCTGTGTATATTTATTATGTAAATATAAATACAAACACATACAGTATATATTTTGAAAATATTTGCAATGTATTTACATGTATATATTTATATTCATATAATTTATATTATATATAAATATATTTAATATATAAACATTGCCTTAAATATATACTTGCATGTGTGTGTATTTATATATACATAATAAATATACACAGTACACACATATATTATGTGAACAAAATCTTTAATTTGGATGCGATTAATCATGATTAATCGTTTGACTGTTCAAAATAATAATAATGGCCATAATAATAATAATATTAATAATAATATTAATAACTATCACACACTGTGCATTTACTTGCCAATGTATCAATGATCTATGAATGATCTATGAAAGTGCAACATCCAAACACCATGAATATCCTCTGGGTTGTTTGTCTTTCTCTACCCTATTCTTTACTTTCAGTTGTGATGTCTAGAGTTAAACTACACGTAAGCATTTCATAGTATTGCACACACTGTTTGTATTCTCTGTGCATGTCAAGAAACGTGAAACCGTGAAGTACAGACCTTGGGCAAACTGTTGCGTGCTGTGTACAATAATACTGTCACCACATGCAGAAAAACAGCAGACACATTAACCAGGGCTGACGACACTCGCGAGGCCTGGTTACTGCCACCGCGTCCGGCCTGGAGCCCCATCGGGAGGTCCAGAACGCAAGTAATGCCATTACAGTGGCTGCCACAAACCCAATGAGATTATAGCCCTGCAACTGGTTTATCGGAAATTCAACTATAATGATCTTTCATCTGGTTTTGCAACAAGCTCTTGCATCCAAAAGCCTGAAGGAATTTAGTTGTTTGGGTACATCATTTTTGTTAATTATATCAAAAACATCTTTCAGTTAGTAGATAAGGCAACATTTCTAATTTCATTTAAAGGAAAAGTTCAGGATGAGTTTGTTTTTTCATAAGAACAGATTTAAAGAAGTTTAGCATTACATCACTGGATTCTCTGCACTGAATGGGTGCCATCAGAATAAGAGTCCAAACATCTGATAAAAACCACCATAATACACATAATTGAAAAATCCACCAACATATTTGTTTAGAACTATTTTGGACTGTTATAAATGGTGCTAGATCTAGGCATATTTCTCTCCTGACTCAGACAAGATGACTTTTTCACTGGAGAAAGCAATATTATGGATAGAAAACTGTATTTTGGCCAGAAGCAACATTTTGACGTTAAAAAAACGCCTTAATGATTGATTTATTAGAAACACGCAGCTTTTTACTTCACAAGATGTTAATTGTTGGACTGGAGTCGTGTGGATTACATGTGGATTATTGTGATGTTTTTATCAGCTGTTTAGACTCTCATTTTGACGGCACCCATTCACTGCAGAGGATCCATTGGTGAACAAGTGATGTAATTCTAAATTGTTAAATTTAAAATTAATTTAAATTACTGATTGGAAATAAAATAAATAAAAATTAAAAATTAAAAACTAAAATAAAAAATAAATGTAACCTAAATATTAATATTTAAAAAAGTGACAAAAATCACTTAAAATTACAAATAGTAATTATAGTAAGAATTACTCAAATTAATAGAATTTAAAATAATATTATTATATAATATTAATATAATTTTAGTATAAATAATAGTAAAAAAAAAAAACACTGCTCAACAGTAGTTGGATTTCAATAAAAGCCAAAAAATGTGTTTAAATTAAGTATTAATTTGTCAAAACCATTCAAACGGGATGATGAAAAGAAAAACATCCTAACAGTTACCTCTCCGGATATTTCCCACAGTGTACAATGTACAAAGCATACAGCAGATTGCCAAAGCTTGGAGGGGGTCTATCATTCATAATTCTGGAAACAAGCAGTCAAAACTTTTCCCTCCATCTGTACGATAATTTCATTCCAGTCCTTTGCGTCATTCTTGTGTCATTCCCAGTCTTCTCACATACACACGGCTTCCGTTCGGCCCATTATTCCTCTAATAGCCCACGCTAAGAGGCCCCCGGTGTAGAAGACATTGGGCTTGGACAATATGCACCCACACGATGCCAGGTGTCCTGGGACACATGTGGGTTTGGGACGCTGCCCTTTAATACGTGATGAGAAGGAAAGTCGCATTGTGGAAGAAAACGACAAAGAAAGCTGTAATTGAACGACGTGCGTCATCAGACATCTGTCAACACTAGCTGTGATCTAACGATGTTGACCAACAGCGTTTGAATGTCTTTAAACGCGCACTTGGGATAAAACAATGTTACGAAAAAGAAATTCAGATCAGGGATTTGTCTCAAAATGAGAAACAATATATAATGAAACAAAATAACAAAATACAATGTTAGCGTATAATAACTTATATTAAAAAGACATTAGTAAATGTGATGCATTTCTTGAATATTTCTTATAAATACTGTCTACATGAAATTCAATTTCTAACTATTGCAGCCAACATGAAACAATTTACAAACCATTTTAATTCAGTTAGGCAAAATATTTCTGATGTGAAGATTTTTTTTCTTTTAAAGAATTTTTTTTAAATGCAGATTTTTTTTCAAATATAAAAAAAGATTTAAGTGATTAATACCAGAATGTATCAAGTGTAGAAAAAATAAATAAAGAAAAAAATTGATGAAATATTATCTTTTAACTTTTATATAAACCAGAAACATGTATTAAGAAAGTCAATCATGGGTCAATTTTGATTTCATGTTGACTTCATCTTCATTTGTATAGTATTCTATAATATATGGAGTTATGTTCTCATCATCTGTGTTTTAGGTAGGACTGAAACAATGTGTTGTCCTGCAAAGAGGTTAATGGCTGCTACTCACTTGCTGAGGGGGTGTCGGAGTGCACCGGTGGTGTCGAAGGGACAAAATTGGGGAAAAAGAAGGAGCGGAGTGAGTGATCGGAGTGGAGAGGAGAGCGCTGGGTCGGCAGGTTTTCACAGCTTCCAGCCACACTGCTGTGGATCTTCAGGTTCAACGGCTTGTTCTTCTTTTTTGCTCTACAAAGAGAGTCAGAGGAAAAACAAATGAGCCCAAAATAAGACACGATCACAGTGTTTACAATGTTGTATCTGGTTTCAGAACACAATATGACTGAAGCGCAGTTCATGAACGGCGCGCGAATCACTGTATACTCTGCGCGCGTTCACCAGCGCGCTCGAGAAGCGTGATAAGAATTGCGCGAGCCATCGCGAAGCTGATGGTCAAATATGTGATCTATTTGAATTATTTAGAGAAACAGCCACTTTAAAATGCTATGGAGAAAGTGGAACAGTATCTAAAAAAGGCAAATAAACTAAAAAGACTGATGAAAAGAGGAGAAAACAATCTTGAACCAGCACTAACATATATTAAAATCTTTTTAAACTACTCATGACCACCTTTACTAGAATTTATCACGTTTTATTGTAGGCTTATTTATTCTGTAAAATTTAGTCTAACTTGTTGTAGAATTTATTTTAGATAATCTGTTAAGGGAATAGATTTTTTCCTATAGATTTATATTACAACTGTGGCATGTTGTAGCTATTGGTTCTAAATGTGCAGGCGGTTGTTTCTTCATAACAAATGCTATATTGATTAATAAAAAAAAAAAAGAGTCATTATTGGCCTGGTAATGATTAATAGGCTAGTTTTATTATAACAAATGCGACAATTAAGAACTGTGGTACATGGCCTTCAGATATTCCAAAAGATGGCATAGATTAAATCATTAAGAGCCTGACAAACTGTTAAAGGGGTCATATGATGCTTTTTTAAAGATCATTATTTTGTGTATTTGGTGTAACAGAATATGTTGACATGCTTTAATGTTCAAAAAAGAGAAAGGAAAACTTGAAATCGCATCATATGACCCCTTTAAGGAGTAAGAAATAATATCAATATGAGAAAATGTTAAATTAGATTGACTTCCCATGGCATGTTGAATTAGAACATTCTGTCAAACTATAGCCTATAAGTGCCTAAATAATATAAAATACATTACATATATACAGTATATATATCCTATGTAAACAAGTAATTGTTAACTATGATGTTACTTTATTGCACCAACTTTGCATAGATGACAGCACAAAAGACCATTTCACAAAAATAAATATATAAGCAAACAAACAAATAAATAAACCTTATGAGTGAGCATGACCCAGGACTCTACTAAAACAGTTCACACTTCAACCCCCCCAATGTTCAAAGCAAAACTACACCCTTGTTCGCATGTATGTTCAAGTGCCCTGCATAACTAAAGAAAGGCTTTACCACTTGTTTTTACGCGTTTACAAGCATTTCTCAATACTGACAAAAAGTTTTTTTCAAAATTCTTCACATTCCTCCAGCATGCACTTTCACTCAGCAGTTTATTTTATGTCAAAATGCATTAAAAACATCAGAACATTTCTCAAAATCAACCCATTCTACCATAGGGCAAACAGTCCCATGTGCAAAAAGGGGTTGTGCATTTCTACTAATGCAAAATATGTAAATGCAAAGGATGAATTTGGCCAAATGTTCGTTATAAATGCAGACACTGCTATTGGGCTGTACAGTAGGTATTGAGAAATGAATATAAACCATTGTTTAGTGCTGTCAAACGATTAATCGCGATTAATCGTTTGACAGCACTACAATTGTTTAAAAAAAACTTTATCCAAGATTTAAAGGGATAGTTCATTCAAAAATGATGTCATTGTTAACTCACCATTAAGCTGTTCCAAACCTGTATGATTTTTTTTTTCAGCTGTTGAACACAGAAGAAGATATTTTGTAGAATGTGGGTAACCAAACAGTTGACGGTAGACATTGACATCCATAGTATGATAAAAAATACTATGGAAGTCAATGGCTACCGTCAGCTGCTTGGTTTCCAACATTCTTTAAAATATCTTCTTTTGTGTTTAACGCAAGAAAGAAACTCATACAAGGTTTGGAACAAGTCAATTATTACATAATTTTTATTTTTGGGTGAACTTTCCCGTTAACATGCAACACAACAAATTAGCTGTAACTCTTAAACTAAAGAATAAATGGTTTGAATCATAATAATTTTTTACACTTTTTTTCAATCAACTCAAATCATCTATCGGGCCAGATTGGACTCTTCCACAAGTCAAATTTGTGTTTGAAACCCCAATATTAATTTGTAACTAGACAGCAAAACAGTTTTCACCATATGAAAGAGCTCGACTTGAATCAAAAGAAAAGTGTGGGCATCAAAACATCCCTGATTGGCGATTTTCAATGGTCAGATCATTCACTGAACCCACTTCTGAATGTAATAAAAGAACAAATTGGATTTGATTTTACCCTGTGTACCCTGTGGTGTCCTATTGGTAAAAGCATTGATATTTATGAAGCTTTGAAGTAGGACAGAGAGATGTCAACTAATAGCAAATTAAAAGGGAAACACTTACAACACGATGCAAATCATTAACAGGAAGATTATTTTTAGTAAAAATAATGATTTTATGCCCAAAAAAGGGAAAAAATAAATTTATTGTTCAGCAATGGTTAGATATTTTTGGTGCATTGTGAGCGTGTTTGTGTGTCTACCGCCGAAGACAATAATGTGCAAGTCTCTGAGAGCTCAATGCATTAGTGTGTGGATTTGACAAATACTGACAGTGTGTGTGAGAGAAGCTTTCTTATTGTGCAGGAATAAGCAGAACGGTGAGGTGTGTGAACGCGAAAGCGAAGAAAAAGGGAGTCGGAGAACAGGAGACAAACAAACAGGCAAATAAAGATGGATCAACAGGGTGACAGGCAGAGCAACTGACTGGCAGCAAACTACTGATGACAGATTCTCATTCTTTCGTTCATGCTTTTTGCTTCACTTCGTGGTCTCTCTCTTTTTCTTTTCTTTTTTTTCACTTCTTGCTTTTTTATTGTGTTGTCTTGAAGTTTAAGGTCAGGTGTAAAGTGTCAAATAATATGACATTTGCATCAACATATTACACAGTGTGAGGTTTGACATGAATGTTAATAATACAAAACAAAAATAGATAGCGCTGTTAACTGATTAAAACTGGTAATTGAGTCAAATCACATATGTGACATTTCCTGAGAAAGGCCCCCAATTCGAAGAAAATCTTATTTCCATATTATTGATAAAGCTTCATTACTGACCTACAGATTAGAGGAATAAACAGTATGTTTTAATGACAATAATTTCATTACTGTCATTATGCATTTTTGAATGAGAAGTATCAAATTTGGGGGAACTATGGGAGAACTTGGGGGAAATTTTAGGGGGAACTTTAAAAAAAAATAATTCAATTCAATTCAATTCAAAATTAAATTAAATTAAATTAAATTAAAATTAGATAATTTAATTGAATTGAATGGAATTAAAATGAAATGAAATAAAATGAAATTATACATGCATATACACACACATGAATGAATAATGTTAAAATGAAAATATATCTAGAAATCCATATATCCATCAAGTTACAGTTATATAATGAATATGGGCTTAAAGTGCACACAGAACTGTGGCAACGTCTCCAAGATGCTTCAAGAGACCTATTTGCAAATCTCCCTGAAAAACTATGCACAGATGCACCGAGGGCAAAAGCTGCTTTAAACACAAAGCATGCTCACACCAAATGTTGATTTAATTTAGTTAATAGAAGTTAATTGATAAAGAAAATCTATTTATGACATTATTTTTGACAGCATCCTCATTTTACAGCATTTTTACACAAGTGCCTAAATCTTTTCTTTGCAGGTAGGTTTCTTGAAGCATCTTGGAGACGTTGCCACAGTTCTTCTGGATTTAGTCTGTCTCAGTTTATTCTGTTTCTTCATGTCATTCCAGACAGACTGTTGATGATGAGATCTCTGTGTGGCAAAGCACTGGCTGTTGTCAGACTCCTTGTGCAATCAAAAATCTCACTGGATTATTACAATTAATGGCAAAATGAATGTTTGGAAATGCAAATTGATATTGCCTACTGACACACTACAGCAAAAGATAGAAATAACTGACTTAAAACCATTTTTAGCTGGTGAAAATGCTAGTGTTCTAATAATTTTGGCCACCACTGTATATACACACTGAACAAAATTATAAACGCAACACTTTTGTTTTTGCCCCCATTTTTCATGAGCTGAACTATATACACAATATATAGTGAACAAAACAATAAAAGGCCACTCTAAAATGTGCAGTTTTACTGTATTGGGGGGTCCGGGGGGGGTCCGAAAACCAGTCAGTATCTGGTGTGACCACCATTTGCCTCACGCAGTGCAACACATCTCCTTCGCATAGAGTTGATCAGGTTGTTGATTGCAAAAGTGTTGCGTTTATAATTTTGTTCAGTGTAGATACAATATATTCTCCAGGAGGGAAAATAATATAACTCCACAGGTTACTGACTTCGTCAAAGAAAGCAGCCGCAGTGAGTGTGTTGTTTTTGTAGAGCTGTCAAAGGTTTTTGGAAATGATCTGTTTGTTTTGTGCGTGTGTGGCAATGCTGTCACTGATGACAATGATATGTAAGTGTCCAAGTGCGGAAGGCATTAGTGTGTGGATATGACACATACTGACAGCAGATGTTCTTGAAGGTGTGTGTGAGTGTGAGTGTGAGGCGATACTGAAGCTTTTGGAACATGACGCAAGCACGAAAAAGGTGACAGGGAGAGACCCTCACATGCTGTGTGGATATGACACATACTGACAGCAGATGTTCTTGAAGGTGTGTGTGAGTGTGAGTGTGAGGCGATACTGAAGCTTTTGGAACATGACGCAAGCACGAAAAAGGTGACAGGGAGAGACCCTGACATGCTGTTACTCCTAACCTCAGAAACTATATTTAAAAGAGAAAATTATCAAGCAGCAAGGAACTAGATGCCAGTTCTACCACATTAATCACAAATGGAAACCAATTATCTTCTCTGCAACAATTATTCATGAGAAATCGTGCACATAATAGTCACTTTGCTTTAAAATCACCACAAATAATGAAACAAACAGATATTTTAGTGGAAACTAAAGGTAAAT